AGGCACAAACTGTCACCGCTATGTAAGCATTCTGTATACAGGTATTTTCCGAAGGAGCTGTTCATTTGCGAAAGAACTGGATTTCTGTCACGTCGGTAGATCCCATGAACAAGCGTCGCTCGAAATCACCTGGTACTGGATATGATGATGACTGTCGAGAACTTAAACGCAGGCTGACTAAAAGTTTGCGCAAAGACTGTGAGCACTACTTGGTCGAACAATCGAAAGAGATGGAGAAAGCCTTTTTATCTGGGAATTGCCGAAGGCTTTTTTTCCCTGATCCGTAGTTGTACTGGTCGTCGAGTTGGTGTAAGTGAAACCATATGTGAAAAAGATGGTTCACTTATCACCAGTCAATCGCGCTGACTTGACAGGTGGACCGAACATTTCGAAGAGCAGTTCAGCTGGCCTGAACCAGATCATGTGGACCACGGGACCCGATCGGTCAGTTATTGCATTCCAGATGGCCCTCCGTCGGAAGCAGAAGTGGTCTTAGAGCTCAATTTGTTGAAGTGTCATAAGGCTCCTGGACCAGATTTCTCTCGTTCTTTTTTCACGAATGATGTGGAGAGAGGTTGATGTCAGAACTGACGAAACTCCTGCAGACGATTTGGGAGACTGAAGAGGTGCCTCGTAATTGGTGCTTCTCAACAGTAATTCCCATTTTCAAAAAGGGGTCCCGAAGTCTTTGTGATAACCACAGAGGCATCAGTTTTGTGTCTGTCTCGTCCAAGTTACTCACTGACCTCATTTTATGTCGGATCACTATGTCAAGAGAAAGCCATATACGTGAAGAATAGGCAGGATTCCGATCAGGTCGGAAGTGCGCTGATCAAATTTTTACCTTGCGACGGATCTTGGAACATCGGCCTTCATATAGGCAGCAAATTGTCGTAGTGTTTTTGGACCTAAAGGCTGCTTTCGATTCAGTTGCTCGTAACGTTCTCTGGAGCCGTCTTCTCCGCAAGGGAGCACCAGGAATCTATTGAGATCACTGTATGTTCACTCTACAAACAGAGTGAGAGTTTATGGACAACTGTCTCGGGAGTTCATCACTTCTAGTGGTGTTCGTCAGGGGTGTTCGATTTCCCCCTTCCTGATCAATTTTGTCATGGACGACATTTAGGAGGGTGCGCTTCGGGAATCCAGTGGGCTTGGAGTTGAGTTTCTTCCTGGCGCTAGACTGACCGGTCTGGAGTATGCGGACGACATTGTCTTACTTAGCCCCTCTGCCGAAGACATGCAGATCATGCTGGACAGGTTGAGCGACCGAGCTGGTTTGTATTGAATGCGGTTTGCACCTTCGAAGTGCAAAGTGTTGCTTCAAGACTGGGGCATTTCCACTCTTACTTTCTTTATTGCAGGTAATTCGCTTGAGACTGTAAACGGTTTCACATACTTGGGTAGCATTATCTTGTCAGCCTGTAATATTGCTGATGAGATATCAGCGAGGATAGCAAAGGCACGAGTTGCCTTCGTCAGCCTGCGTCATCTGTGGTGTCGAAAAGGCGTTAGGTTGTCACTGAAAGGAAGGATATATAATGCTTGTGTGCGCTCCATTTTGCTTTATGATTCGGAAACGTGGCCAATTCACAAAGAAGATATTAACTGACTTGCTGTGTTTGACCATCGTTGTCTCCGCCACTTGGCCCATATTAAGTGGACTGATTGTGTGAGCAATGTGGCCGTTCGCCGACGCGTATTCCGGAATGCTCGGGATGCGCGATCAATTGGTCAACTAATTACGTTGCACAACTTGAGATGTTTGGGTCATGTTCTCCGTATGCCATCTGATCGTTTACCGTACCGGGCATTATATACTGAGACCACCAACAATTGGGTAAAACCGCGCTGTGGTCAAGCAACAACGTGGTCACGAAATATGAAGACTGACTGCTCCATTGAGCAAAGTGGGTAGGTGTCGCCTGCCTGGATGGGGTCCTCGTGATCTTTCAAACCGCTGATTATGGACGCTATCCGAGATGGTGGTGTGTCGCAGTCAATGGCGTACCTGTATTCATACCATTTCTAGTTCTTCCGTTTAGTCTTGTTTTATTAATTTTCAACCTTTTTAATGACGTTTTCTTCCAGGATATTCCACGTCCCTTTTGAGGTGAGCGGCGGCCGGAGCTGCAGTACCTTTCTGTCGGGCTCATGATTGCTATGATGATGATGATCAGAAAGTATCGTGAAACAGATAATTTATATAAACTCCCATTAGGTGTTGTCACAGCAGAAGGATGGCGTATGCTGTGTCATGTTAATATTCCTTTACTTCTGTCTGTCACAGATGTAAGAAATGCAGTTATGCGCATCAGACAGGCAGAAAAAACGGTGACTGGACATGCCTACAAACACACCAAACAATAAGTAGTGAAGAGCATGATATCACCATCGCTTCCTTCGGCCAATTTTGTGCATGTGACGCCGGCCTGTGTGTTCGGATCAACATTGCTTCACAGAAAGCCATCAACTTTGGATTTCGATTGTGCACTAGTATCGTGAATGAGCTGTTCAGGTCACCTCAGTGATCTGTTATGGGATGTTAGTGATGAGTGATGTATGGGTTCGAACAGCCGGTTCACGAAGTTGAAGCTGATAAGTCGTCAGTTCTTTTAACTATTTCGCGGTTTGTTTGGGCACTTGTTCTGATAGTTGTCTATCTATTTTGCCTATGTAAACGTTACTGTAACTGCCAGTAAATTCGAACACGATGTGGGAAACAGCAGTTGGACGAACTGCGTTCGCTATTATGGAGAACTGGTCTTCTAGTGGCTTGAACTAAACACATTCGCATAGTCGCATACGTTCATGCTAGAACAGACATTCTGTGCATGGTGTCATTCGCTTGATGGTTCCTACGAACTGAAAAATCACAGATATCTTTCCACTGAGTCTTCGGGGTGCATTCGTTGTTTTCGTTCACCTTATTATGGGTCCCAGTGATTTTCTCAGAGTGTTTGTAGGCGTGACTAGTATTATCCGTCTACGTGTTCTATTTTTACGACGTCTAACATATCGCATCATACTTTTTGCCTTTTCTTCCGTTGAAGTGGTTAAAGAAAACTCAATGTTCCTCTACTCCAGGTTTCCCCTATTCTCTGGATTTTAGTTTTGTCTTTAAGTAGCATCTCTGCCGCATACGATACAGTTAGGGCCGTCAGTGTGGTGCACAGCTTACGCAATGCTGTTCGCGATGTTCCTTCATATTTATCTGCAGTATGTGAGTACTGCTTCTATAACGATCTGGAGATTCCAACTTATTTCCCCACAGTATGAGTTATGAATTTTATCCAGAGATGCTCACGTGTTGTGGGATGAAAATTTCAAACTAGCTGACCATTAAAAACAGGAAGTTGCTTAATTGTCAATGTGAAACCATTAGCGTGCTCCCCCTTTATTGTCAGCCAATGCGACTAACTACCACAATCATCAAGTCAAAATGTTTCCTGGAGGCGAAATTGCCGGTACTATTTTCCCTATGTTATGGGGTCAATACAATTATAAACGGTGTCAAATTGGGTACACTCACTTAACACTCTGGACACAGGATTGGTTTGTGTGGTCAGTTATTTTTGTGGGCTCTGGTAAGAAAACAGATTTAGCTAACCTAAATCAGAGTAGTAATATTGTAGCGAAAAGGCGTCCAATAAAGCACAATCTTTATTGTCCAACACGCTAGTTAGCATGGTACGCGCGCGCTGGCGTTTATCAGTCAGCATTCCAGTCCACACTCACGCGTCGTGTGCACTTCTGCCCGGTTTATGTGTGTGATCGACGCCTTCTATCCGGGGGTTTTCCGCCTGTCAATCTTCGTCTGTTAGTCCGATTTCGTTGGGCGATGGCTCGTCCGGTCGCTCGGGTTGTCCTCCATCTATCCACTGTGAGCTTTGAACGTATTCCACGGCAGTGTCGAGATATCCCCGCGAGTGTTGGAATAATCGAGCCTCCGATTTGGTCGTCCATCCTATTTTGTGTGCCATGTCTCGCCCGTTGGTCCGATCCGGTCGGGCGATGACTCATCCAATTGCCCCCGTTGTCCGCCATCCGATCGTCGAGGGTTTGTAGACATGTCCCCCCGCGTTGGCGTACTCCGCCGAGTGTTTGAATACTCGCACCTCCTGCCTGACAATCCACCACAATATGGCCTGGACAAACCGTTTTCCCTAATAAACCAGTGAACGATCCAGCATTAGGACGGTCGATTCAAATGGTTCCGATTCGATAATTCAATACTGTTATTCTTTGTGCAGGATGTTGAAGCAGTCGACTTTACTTGTGAGTACATTTACGCGAACTTCGTACATCCTCCCTTCTCCATTTCCTATTCAATATGCGTGCTGTTATTCTGCACATCTTTGTAAGCTTTTATTTCATATGCATACCGGTTAGCAAATGGTATACTTAACGAGGCGCATCCCCTCGACCACGTTTTAGCTTGTGTGTTCACAGCTGTTGTAAGAAAAGCTGTCATGTCAGTCCTAGCTGAATCGGATCTGTTTAAACGAAATACTCTGACTGAATAAAATTGGAAGCACAATAAAAAGACAGTCCAGATGTTCAGCTATATCCACTCAAACCTCTCCGTAACCGCTGAATGCAAACAAAGGGAAAGTCCTTATTCTTGATCATCTTCATCAGAAACTTCGGATGTTTTTTTTAATTATCAGTGTACCGCAAAGATACGCCGACGTAACAACAAATGAACTTTATGGGCTTCGCTTCTGTTGCGTACAGAAGATCATTTAGACATGCAATACTTTGCGGTAGATTAGTTGTATATCTTCCGACGGTGAACTACAGGGCATGGTTACAGTGCCGTGTGAAACTGTTCGTGCTAATATTTTCGTGAACCGTTTATCCGGATCTGAAGTAATCCGTCCGACTTCGCATCAAGATCTAAATTATGAAGAACACATCAAGATATACATGAGATTGTATTACTAATAAGTAGTTTGACAGATTTGTGATTTTAGATGAGACCTAATTGTGAAAAGTCAGGGCTTCGGCTGGATTCGAACCAACGAAAGAAACACAATGCCTCAACGTGGCAAGCACTTTATTCGCTGAGCTACGAAGCCACATGAGGAGCTCGGACATTTCCTATTTGGACTCGGCTACCCACCCGTCCTACTGTCTCATATGGAACCCACCAAATTATTCGTAGCTCAACTGCTAGGGCACTTGCTGCATTTGGGCATGTTGTTACTGTCGCCAGTTCAATTCCAGCCGAAGTCCTGATTTTCCACAATTGGGTCTTGTAAATCACTCAATGTGCCAAACTACTCTTCAGTACTAGGTGTCAAGATGTAACGACTATAGTAAATGATATTTTTGATAGTCGCATTCACTTGTACACTTTTGATGATTTAGGTTTTTTTTACCTACTTTTGTTTTAGTCAAGCCATCCTTTTTGTAGTATCTGTCCCGGGGCTACAATCACAACTCGCTCCGTGCTTCGCTAGCTTGACGTGCTTTTTCTGTACACTCTATTTTCCAGGGTCAATACAAATGCACGAGAGTCAACGCGCTGAGTCCTTGTTTTCTCGTTGTTGATTGGTTTTCGATAGTGATTACAGACTGGGTATTAATCTGTTGGACCAGTTCCAACAAAAATGATTGTCGTTAATATGAAACACACATATGAAGCGAGAGAAATTACTTCTCTCACAATTGACCAGATTGTTTCAATGCGGATGAAAAAACAAAATCCATTATATTCCCTTGGCAGTTATATCTATCAGTATTCCTACAAACAAAAATACATTTATGGTGGCAGAACAGAAAAGATGTTTGAAACCAGAGATAAAGAACATGTTTCAAATCGTTTCGGAGATGCGGTAGCGCACTTGAGTAAACCGATCTCTGTGTATCCTGTCAACAATTCTTAAGCTTTGCAGGTCTACATTGCTCTGTACCTCCTTGCGCAGATTTGTTTGACTTGAGAACAACTAGATGCGACACACTCGAGTGACACCTACTACGCACATGTGATTAGTACCCTGCTGAAACATTCCATTGTTTGATGATAGTCCGGTTCCATTGATCTTCAGGATCACCTACACTCGAAATGTTTTGACCACTCCTGTAGTGAGAATAATCGATCACACTGTACTGCTAGCCAGCAATCAGATGGAAGTATGTATTGTGACATTCAAGTGACCGGAGGACTATTGTTGAAACCATTACTTCGTAAGAACGGTGTCTCCACGTTGCGCAAAGTTGGTTTACGAGTCTGATTGGTAATCGAAGCCAGAACATCTGACCTGCCTGTTACAGCTAATAGACTGGAGTACTGCTGTTATGTGGATTTTCGAGTACATTCATGTAGTAAAGCGGTTTGCGTGAAAAGTCTTATTTCGCAAAATCCAGCGTTATTACGAATATTGGTTGCTATCAGAAGTTCGAATTTTTAAGTCAGCACTCCTGTTTTCCCCATTGTCTGAAGGAATACCGCCCTATATAAAATGAAGAACCTCGTTGCAGCGCACCTATCTGTGTAATTAACCTTGCCAAAGTTCATCAGCTTACGAAGGTCGAGATTTTTAAGTCTGCTAACTCGGACTTCGTCAATTAATCGAAGCCTCATGCATTGCTTCGAAGTACAGACGGTGCGACCGTGAAGTTCTTCACCGACGTTAAACACTCCCAAGTTAAGAATCGGATTCAACGGTAAACCCATCACAGGCGAAAATCACTGGGGGTGCTTTCAACAATAAACGAAGATGGAGAGAACCTCTGGTGCATTTAATTGTGATTGTTGAATAAATTTTCGTAGCGAGGCATTATGTTTTTTTGATTATTGTGAACGCCCATAAATGTTGTGCGCAACAGGGTCACGAGTTGGACGTAGGAAATGCAGTTAGGTAAAACGAATAATCATGAATATAGTTTTTGAGTGTTACCTGAACGTAATAATTTCTCCCATTTTTACTTTCAGGTGGCAATCAAATTACACTGTTGCCAATTGGGCTAGTATTCAGTCCTGGGCCCGGGGTAATGTACAACTATTTTTGGTCTTTACCAATGATCGGGGAGTTCGGACTTTTTAAACCCACTGAATCATCGTGTTTATTGTGCGCCAACGACCTGAAAGTCTGGCGCATCATGAAATCGATGGGATATCAGAATACTGTGCGGACCGGTCTTCAGTATACTGCCAAATGTGTGCGTACGTGCATATTCGGAGGACAAATAAAATAGGTGCCTATCACTTGAGTTGACGTTCGTTAAGACAAGTAGAACGCGATCTGCGTATTGCCTCAGCATCCCTCAAGACGCAATACCTTATGGACAGGACCTGCACATCAGCACGTGTTTTACTGTAGACAATCGAGAGGTCCTTCAGCAGGCTTGCATCCAGGACCTTAGCCACTCTGTTTGTCGAACGCGTCAGATCACACTTGGAGTACGGGGAGCGGCGACCTATCCATGTATCAAGAAGGAGATGCGAAGGCTGGAGGATAGTTCAGAGAACGGCCATTAGAATTGTAGCTGAAACGTGTTCCCCGAACACTACAGGCATATGCGTGGAGACTTGTCATTGATGTGGAAAGCGTAGAGGGTAGAAGTGGACCAGGAGCAGCGCGCGGACTTTCCATCGCGAATGACGATACGATGCATGGAGGATAAATGACTGAAAAAGTAAACTGCATACCAGTCGCTTGCAGTTTATTAACTCTTGCAGAGTTGAAACATTCTTTTCCCATCAGAAATTTGAATAAAGAAGACAGTAGGCTGATATTGCACGATTTATGTCCGGACAAATTTCGCTGCATCTTTACGAGTGCGTACTACAGACCATTTATATAGCAGTGAGAAAACGAACAAGATACCAGAGAAAGTCAATTGTCAGAGTGCACAATCATTGTCACTACCAAGGTAGTGACAACCCTACAAACAGTTGTTTCTGAACACACAACACGGGTTTGAACTTTCGGATTGCAACAGCTTCCGCATAGCGCAGTGTTCGCCTGTGTGACGTTGAGTAGAGAGCCTGCATCATCCATTGCACGTCATATTCTAATGACGCAACACCAATGCGATCCCACAACGGCATTTCGCGTTATCTACTCAACGTCACACAGGCGAACACTGCGCTATGCGGAAGCTGTTGCAATCCGAAAGTTCAAACCCGTGTTGTGTGTTCAGAAACAACTGTTTGTAGGGTTGTCACTACCTTGGTAGTGACAATGATTGTGCATTCTGACAATTGACTTTCTCTGGTATATTGTTCGTTTTCTCACTGCTATATAAATGGTCTGTAGTATGCACTCGTAAAGATGCAGCGAAATTTGTCCGGACATAAATCGTGCAATATCAGCCTACTGTCTTCTCGCAGAGTTGTCAGTTGTTGAGATGCGCTTTCTTGCCGTGTGGCGGACGAGGAATTGGACGACATTTAGAGCGAAACTGGATGCACACTTTGGGAAACCGTAGTATCAGGAAGGATGGTAAAATAATGCTTCCATAGAGTACTGTCTTGGCGGGTATTACGCAGGAGTCTATACCCTGTGCATTCAGAGAAGGAATACCGAAGTATAATCAGTTAGCGGTCCATGGTAGTCTGCCGAGTGAGTAGGGGGGGAAACCTCAGGGCTGTTTCAGTGAAACTAATGAAATTAACAGAGACTTCTGTATGATCACAAGGTACTCCGTTCGAAAACGTTCGGTTCGGCTCCTAGTAGGTTTCTGTTCTTGTAAGGGCGTGGCGCTGCAATTAAAAAACCGTTTAATCGGAACTGCGTATGTCACAGGATCAGGCTATGCAATACACGCAACAGAACTCAGACGTAGTTAGCAACTTCTCGCACTTAACCATTCACAGAATTATCAGTTGAATACCTACTCAGATGAATACAGCCATTACCATATTTCAAATAGAGGCATTTAAACTATTGTATAAGATCCACTAATTAGTCTTGATAGTTTGGTATATCCGCACAACCACTTCTTAACAAGAACTGATAGTTACTGCTGACGACTAGAGGGTAGGATAGTGTGTGAAAGACAGCAGCTCGTCTTCCTAGAGGGTCTGGGCTTTTCGTGAAAGTGACGCCACCTCTGGCATGAGACATGAAGTCAAACAGGCATGTCGTCGAATTTAAATACGCTCCTCTTATTGTTGTTTTGACTAACGGCAAGAAGAACGTGAGTACGAAGATGGTTTGAAAACAGCGTTATGTAGCCGAAAGAAATGGTACGAAATCCAAATTACAAACAGTTTCTCCTACTAAGACTGGGTGTTGCGCTCAGTGTGCGGCGACTCCCTGTGGGGCCGATACTGTCTCAAGAAAGTGTCACAAAGGCTTATCAGTTATCTGTGCGATCTCTTTTTATGGGTTGCTTTCTTTAATCTTAAGTTACGATTGCAGTTGTTTTATTCGCAAACCCATTCAAACCTTAGATATCCTGGTTTGCAGAGATCAGGTTTGGTGAATTTTGACCGACCTGTTTCGCCAGCTAGTTCGCTGGCATGGATCACAAGGACAGAAGCGTACTGGTTCTGCAAGAGAAACCGTGCAGTGTCACCACAGGCCGACTACAGTCATCTCTTTTTTGGGAGTGGAAAAATGTTTGGACCACTGGCATGAGTTGGCAGCCTCAGGAACAATTCCGAGGAGACGTTGTGCACCACAAATGAGGTTGTTTCCAAGGTGGTTGTGCCGACTGAGAGGTGAGCTTTTAAGGGAGGAAGGAAAAAAGTGGGCTAGAAAAGAAGAGAAGATAGAGGAACCTGAAAGAGAAGTGGTTGATAGTTAGTAATAAAAATGGAGATTAAATTGGTCAATGCGTTGGCTGTGACCTATGTCTCGTTCCTAGCGGTTACCATTTTGATCTTGGTACCTACAGCCAATTGTACAGTTGCATGCAGTGTCTCTTCCTTGTCCACGGGTTAATGTCCAAGCATACGTTTATTACGCCACAACCCCTTTGGCGCACATGGGGATACATTCGTGCAATCATACACATTCCCATACGTACTACTGGGGCATACACTTCGTGTGGACATATTTATTATCGGTTACTGATGAGTAGTAGGGGATTTTGGTTCTCATGTAGATTGTAAATCACTCACAAT